ACACACACACACACACACAGCAAAAACACAAGCAACTCTTTTCACAAACGCCTCATTCATAATAACACAATAATTGTGGTCACCGACACACACAAGTATAAAAAAAACTCAGACAAAAGCAGAGTTCCATTGTCTGAGGAACTGCACAGGCTTTAGTACAGTACAATGGCCGCGCCAACCTAACCTGGCTAATTATATCCTAGAAAACTCACAGTGCAGAGTCAATGGCAGCGAGAAACCATAGAAAATCACAAAGAAAGAAAAGAAAAATAAAGAAAAAAGAATCTTGTGTAATGAAGAGAAGAAGACGTGAGTACTGAAGATCGAATGCAGACTTAAATTAAAGGGAAGAAAGGAACAGAAAGAGAGAAATAAAAGAGTGATTTGCTTGTGGACGTCTGTTATCATCCAAAACCGCAAAAAAACCCACACAACTCTGAACTGCTCCAACGTGAGGCTCTGTTCGAGCACAAATATTTCTCAGAAATGAGTCTCATGCTTTTGATCGATTTTAACGAAATTCTGTTGGGTGAAACCAATTTGTTGCCACGGTAATGTTACAGCATCACCATCAATTGTGCTAAATGAATACCCTCGTTGTTCAAACAAAGACTGCTAGTAATCCTGTGAGCCACCTCCTCTTCTTTTTCTTCCTGACATTGGTCTGAAAGTCCGCACTATCCAAAAAAGTTCCCACTTCGAACGAACTGAGCGATGGTTCAGTTCCATCCTGATCAGACCAAAAGCCCTTTCACGTCTAATATATTGGTTTGGACTGACCTGACCAGGAAAGTGTGAAAGCCCCCCCAAGATTTTTATTACAAGACACTTACCTATGACGATTAGCGTGTAGTTGATGTTCACGCTGCCGAAGCCGTTGGTGGCCTTACAGATGTAAGTCCCGGCGTCGTCGGTCTCCACCTCTTTAATTCGCAGAGCGTGCTGCAACACCCTGAACCGCGTCCAGCCGTTGTGGATGTTGCGGCCGTCTTTGGTCCACATGATGAGCGGAGGGGGGTCGCCCTCCACGGGGCAGGGCAGCTTCATGGTGCGGCCGATGCGGATGCTCTGACGGTGGGCCACCCGCTCCGACACCCTGGGGGGGCCTGGATGATAGATAAAGAAAGAGAGAGAGACTCGTTAAAAGTTGTCACCACTACTCCCACAACACATAAGCATACAAATACGACATGAAACACAGGAATTATCCTTTAACCTTAACTGATTTTATAATGGCTTCACTCAAACCTTGACATTTCAACAAAGACAACATTAAAATCCCACGGGAGCGAACACTCAGCCAAGCGGTGAGTTTAATATGAAGCGAGACGTCGCGTTGAGACATAAAATCAGGCGTGACCTTGACCAATCAGTAGCTGCTCTACGGTGAAACTGCACACTAGAAAAACAAAAGGTGGTGGAGGAGCAGAGGGGGTGACTGGAAGAGAGGGAAAGAAAACAGAGAGAGAGATGGAGAGAAATAAGGGTGAAGGAGAACAGAATAGGAATGCAGGGGAGGAGAAAGGGAGAGGACGGAAGGTAAGGAGAGAAGAAGGGAGGAAATGAAGGGGACAAGGAATTTAAGGGAGTGCGTACGAGAATAAAATATGGCAGAATAGGAGAGGAGCACAAAGAAAGACAAACAGGAAGATAGAGGGAGGGATGTAGGAGTTCAGCATCTCATTACTGCTTTTGGGTTAAAACAATAGCCTCCAAATAAAGTCCTGAAAACACAGACTGGGCCAAACAAAGTGTCCTGACCGACCACAAAGAGGTAATTGTATGTAAATCCATCAGAAAACAACTGACTCCAGGTCAGGTCCTGGAGGTTAAACGTTTTTAAGAGGAAGGACAAAGGGAGTGTGATTTGAACAATGTGGCTGATAGAAGCTTATCAGGCTGAATACAAGCAGTCTGATAAAGACAAGGAATACATGTAAACACGGCTTTAGACACATTTCAGGTTTGGCACTTTCGTCTTATCACAGAAAACTAACTGAGCCTGATGCCAGATATCGTAAATGGGGACGTTTAGTTTGTCCTTGTGGACGACTGGTTTAATAAACAGCTGCAGACTGTGTGAGGGGGTTGTGTTTCAGCAGATTTAGGTGGTTCCTGAAGAAGGAAGGAAAAGAGAAGTTGAGATGTGGTTGTGGAAGAGCAGGTGGAACCCCATCCCTCTATCCCTCTATCCATCCATCCATCCCTCCCTCCGGTTAGTTTTGTTGAGCTCTACCGAGGACGTTGGTTTGTTTCATTGTTGGTTTGTCAGTTTTAATTTCTGGAGTCACTATACCACAGGATCTTCTGGAAATTCAGACAAAGACTTTACATCAGCGACATTCACATTTATTCTCTTCAATGTGCAGTTGGAGATATTGGAGATAAATCCGGTGTCTCAGGGTAATACAGGCTAAATGAATGTGATTATAAAAAGGGAAAAAGTTACAGCAGGCTTCATGGTGGTGTTTAAACAGGAGGTGCATGATGGAGGGATGGATGCAGATGTGTATCAAGGTGAAATGTGTGAAAAAGACATTAGTCACTTGGAGGTAGTCTCTCCTCCTCCTCCGTCCTCCCTCCATCCTCAACGCTCCTGGACGGATTATTGTGTTTGTTAAACTGTGTGGTTTTCTCATCAGAGGCCCAACAGCTCACTCTCTCTTTTTCCTTTCTCTCCACCTGATTGATATACCTGGATTTCTTTATTTCCTCTGCAGCCTGGTTATTAATCCTGCTGTTCTTTTGCCATTTCTGTCTTTTATGCATCTCCCTGAACACATACATCATCCATCTTCTTTTATTTTTCTTTCCACCTATTTTTGCCCCATTTCTTTCTCTATATCTATAATGTCCCTTTAATGTTCATTTTCTTCTTTCTATTTATTTCTTCTCTTCTCTCCCTCAGACGGATTGAAATCTCATTTCCCTGAACTCTCACTACTCCCCTCTCTTTCTTGCCCTTAACCCCTCGTTTCCTCTGACTCCTCCTGTCCTCTCTCCCCCTGTCATCACTCCCATCGACCTCTCCACCTAAATCCATTTTGCTCTCTCACTCCCTGCTCTCTCGTCTTCTCTTTCGTCACACTCATTCACACCAAATTCTTTGTGCTGTGCCATATTTCCTCTTTTTTTTTTTTTTTTCTCAGAACGTGATTTACTCGTCCCCTGCCCCAGATTTGCACACACGGCGCCTCAGCTTCCCCCAGACGATCGCAGGGGCAGGACCTCGAACTGAACCTCTCAACTTTCAACAGTTAACCTCTGCGACACTCTCCCTCCTCACCCACCTTTCCTCCGCCCCATTGCGATCCTCCACCTCCTGCTTTTGCACGGTCCATGACCGAAGAAATGTCTTTTTTAATCTGTCTCCTGAGGTGAAACTGAAGCGAGTAAAAAATCTATTCTTCTCTTTCATGAGACACAAGGTCAGGGTGTTTGTGTGTCTCTGTTTGTGTGTGTGTTAGTGTGTCGGGTTGCTGCATGTGTGTAGGTCCTGTATGTGCAGCTGAATGTTAGTTTACATATGAAAAGTGGCACAGTTGCTGTATTTAGTTAAATTACACGATTATGTGTCTCTGTGCTTCAGCATCTTTGTCTGTTTATCTGCCTACATCTTCGTCTGTGTGTGTGTGTGTGTGTGTGTGTGTGTGTGTGTGTGTGTTGGGGCGGGCAAAGTAAATTGCAAGGCTTTAAAACGTTTGTCTGTTTAGTCCATTTGGGGCTTATGGGCGCTTCTTTGCTTAAAACTGAGTTCCCACAACAATAAAAAGTTTTCTCTGAGCCTCCAGATGCTCGCACATACACATTCCATGCACACACTCCCTCTCCTTCCCCTTGATAAAGTAGGAAGTGTGCAATAAGTTATATGTGCAATATCTGATATTATGCAGCTTAATGACAGGAAAATACAGCTTGCGTCAGAGACACACCCCCACATGAGGCAGAACCTTCCAGCTCTGAACTGAACACATCATCCTCCTGCTTGGACTGAGAGAGAAAGTCTGAAGGCCAAATAAATCAGTTCATATTCTCTGTTCACAGTTCCACTCAAAATGAACCGCTCACTTCATTGTTTGGGCCAGATTGATTTTGGGGCCTGAATATCTGGAGAAAGTAATTTAATTTTAAAAAAATATTATATAGTGGACTATATACAGCATAGCATTAGCATAGTATAGTATAGTATAGTATAGTATAGTATAGTATAGCATGCTGAGGAGGCAGATAATCTGGAGGCTCTCACTCGGACATTTGCATTCATACTTGCACCTCTGGAGAAAGTGTGGAGAATTTCTGGAGTTCAGTGCATGTCTGAAAGCAGCTTATGATACTTCAGTCCAGTATACAATGGCCCAGTGTGTATTGTGTAATACCGTTTGGTGTAATCTAACCTAGTTACAGTACGTCTGGTTCTAGTTAAAGTAGAGCAGGTTTGGTAGATTCTAATAAGATCAGTAGATTTCTATCAACTCACACTTTCACTCTTTTCTTTGGTTGTCTATTCTACATTCTTTTTGAAATTTAAACTCCACTGCCAGCTAACGTCTGAGCAGAGTGCTGTTTTTTTTTTTCATATCAGAGTCACTAATGCCTTTCCCAGACATTTCCCGTTGAGAAAAAAAAAACTTAATTCCAATATTGGCTGACAATGAAGGAGTTGTAATATACTTCACATTAGAGGGAGAACAATAAACACCTACTGTCCATCACAAGGACACATGTGACACTTCTAGAAATCAGTTAGAAAACGACTTCAGCATCGTTTTTTTTTTTTTTTTTTTAATCGATGAAAAAATACCTGATCATTTGGTCAATTTATGTGTTGCCATATTTCATGTGACTCTTTATGTTTTGGTTTTGGATCCAGAGTTTGGTCTTTTAATCCCCTTAACGTTCCACTGGTCTTTGAGTCAGATGCGTCCAACACCGAGTTGTTATTGGCAGGGACGTGAGACTGGAGCTGGAGGAGAGAGCTGAGGAATGCTTTTGATGGAGAGCACTTAACAGCGGGACACAGTGTTGATGTACTGTGCAAGGTAGAGGTGTGTGTGTGTGTGTGTGTGTGTGTGTGTCTGTGTGTGTCTGCATGCTGACTTATGTGTCACTGAGTGTTTTTAAAAAGACTCGAGCACAGTAACTCAAAAGGGTCCTAAAGAGGTCATCATTATTATCCCATCAGTTATAAAATAAACTTATTTCTGTGTTGTACTTTTAACTAAACCCAGTTCATAAACTTGGCAGAAGGTTTATCCCTTCACGATGTGCTCCAAGGAAAATTTCTGCGTGCTGCTGAAATTACCCGAATACACGTAAGTCTGATATTTATGCAACACTTTGTTTAAACCGTGAAATCCTCTGCCGTTACGCTTTTGTTTCTAAATTCTTTTTACAAGCCTGGATCCAGTTATCACATCTTTACCCTCTGAATTTTATTATGACCAGTCCAGTGAGATTTTATTTGTTGCGTAACACATTATTTGAACCAACTTGTTGAGTTGGAGCTTTTTCACACCTGAGAGTCCGAACCATAGACATCTGGTTTCACATTGTAAATATGGGAGCACTCTACAGACAGACGTATGATATACGTACGTTCTGTTGTCATAACCTTGGTGGCTGAAATGAAATGTTGGAGTTTTAAACTAATCCTCAAAGTCTACAGTACTTTTGTAAAACAGGGGAAACGCGAGGAGTTCCTGCAAAGTTTCTTCGTTCTTGGGGAAAGTTCCTGTGGTCAAAACTGGGCTTTCGTGGACCTACAATGGAGAATAACTGGTTTGTAGATGGACGTGTATCCATCATCGGTGTGTCTTTATCTGAATTAACCATAGTTCAGTTTGATCCGGACAAAGACCACCTCTTTTGGTCGGACTACATTTTGGTTTATTCGGTCGGAGGCACCTTCCACACCTGTTATTTTGGTTCGGACTGTAAGGTCTGCTTACACTGACACAATTAGTAAAAAAAAACATGTCTGCCCTCTCCGTCACGCTCCGTTAACTTTCTTCGGCCTGAGGCAACAAGCGGAGTGACAGGAAGACATTAAGTTTCCTTCCTCTGTCGCACACGTGCTCACACAAAAACACACTCACTCCACCGACAC